GCGGGTGTGTGAATGTTGCTGTGTGTGTGTGTGTGTGTGTGTGGGCGTGGGTGTGCATCGTTATCATATTGATGTGCAACAGTTTAAAAATTTCCTGAACAATTTGTTGTACAACGAGTCGCTCCCTTAAAGGGAAGCAGTAAATGTTTCATTAATTTCAACAAATTTTAAATTGCCATAAAAATTCGAAATTTACGATAATGAATGTCGACTCGTCTAGACTGTCAGCAGTTGCCAAAATGCACAAAAGAAAAGCGCATAGCGACTGCGAAGTCTTTGCGAATTCAAAAACTGCTGATTTTCATATCACCAAAATTGCCGGCGTTAGCACAAACAAAAACCCAAAAAAAAAAAAAAAAAAAAAAAAAAAATCCGTCCCGTTTAGCTATCTGCGAACAGCACTCAATTGAATGAGAGTGCTGGCAAATACATTATATACTATATATTATTTGAATATACTATATATATATGCTCTCTCTTAATACCACCCCTAGCCCATTCACACTCTCGAGGCATTTCACAATCGCCCTCTCGAAATGCGCTTTTGATATTGTGCATAAATTAACTTGGCAAAGTTTTTTGAGTCGGGTGAAATTGCAACGAGTGGCACTTTATCAGTACCATTTAACGCCCACAATGGGGGCGTGGCTATGCTCATGGTCGTGGTCGTGGCTTTAAGGTGGGCCATTTCAGATTATATTAAATGGATCAGTTAAGAGCTGTCTGCCCTTTGCCACTTGAACTCGAGTTCAATCAAATTAGTTGCCCTTTTGAGAGCTATTTTTATTTGATTTACAGATTGAAATTAAAAATATTTTACTGTGTTAATTGGAAAGGTTGAAAATCCATCTTTTAGCTGCTTTCTATCAGATTGTGAACTTCCTTTCAAATTTGCTTTCTTTAGTTTAAACCGGCTTTAATTAAGAGAGAATTATTCTGGCCAAAACTTGTTGGATTTTTGAGCTAAAGTGCTGATATAAATTATTATTTTCTTAGAATTGCTGAGAAGATACATGAAATGTTTGCTTTTGCTTTGCCAGCCGCTTGCATAGGCAAATAATTAGCAGGAATAAAAGCACACTTTCATAGAGCTGGAAATCGTTGGACTTGACTGCAAGCGGCACGAGCCCACTTGTTTATTCATAGCCTTAACCTGGCTCAATGGCAGATGCCTGGCATCTAATAAGGCTCCACTCGACTCCATTTGGCTGTGTTTATAAACGCATTTGTGCACGACGATGGCCAGAGCTCGAGGCTCTGTGCTAAGCAGCATTACGTATCGAATATCCAAACTCAAATCCAATTCGATTCGTGAGGCACAAACAAGTTTCGAGCTAAAATCGCAAGAGCTGCAACGAGAGAGCCAGAGAGAATGCGAAACTGAGCAGTAGAAGGAGGCAGCTAGGATATGCCAGGATAAGCGCTGCAAAGTATGCGCTGCAGTTCAACTGCCATCCATAGTCGATATAAATTCATTTATTCATGAGCTCAAAACCGGAAATGAATGTGTTACCTGCGCGACTGTGTGTGAGTGGGTGTCAGTGTGTGTGTGTTTGTAATTGTGATTGTGTGAGAGAGTGTTCTCACATGTGTATTTAAGTTTGTTTTTGTGGATAAAATATGTGCGGGCTCTGTCTGCCACGCATGCAATTTATGAAAATATTTGATTTGCTCAGCGTCTGCCCATAAATTATGTTAACAAAAAAAAAAAAAAAAAAAAATTATATTTCCTTTTTGCTATTACCTGAACTTCTGGCCAAGTTTTGAATGCGAATTGAATATGTCTCGCTGATCTAACGAGCAGCAGGCGGCTGCAATTCCAATTGCACTGGGCGTGTTTGCTTCAACTTAAATTGTGCGCATTATTGGCAAAGTGCACTCAAAAGACGCACACACACACACACACACACACACTGAAAATTTGCAGCAGGCATGCATAAATTTTGCGCCAAAAAGCCGTTTAGGGAGCACAAACACAGCCCTAGAGCAGCAGATAGCAGTTGTTGAGATGGCGTCAAGTTGCAGCAATCGCTGCACACGCACAAGTGCCTCACTGCACAGAAATGGCACTGCACAAACATATACACACACACGCATGCAAGCACATGCTCACATGCACACATGCCTCTATTCAACTTTCACTTTGAATTTGCCAAGTTTTTGCGCAAGATGCACTTCGCAGCTTCCCGTTGCCCGCTGCTGGCTCCACGACTGACGTTTCAATTTACACACACACACTAGAGCAAATACACGCACACACACACTCGTGCAGTCATGCACCGTTATGGGCTCGCCTTTGATTTTAAAGATTTATCGTGCATTTCGTGGCATACTTATATGCGCCATTTGCATATTAATAGAGCAGACAGCATCCAAACTCTTCCAGTTGGCAGCGCTTATGAGTGCATCTCGAATGCTTAGAACAAACAACACGCTCAGAGCAAGCTAGAGTTAGAAAGACGGCGTGAAGGAGACAGTCAGAGGGAGAGAGAGAGCGAGATAGAGAAGGAGCTCTCCTCGTGTGCACATTTTTTTATCAATAATTTAAATAGCAAAATTCAAACTGATTTCTGCTCAAGCTTTCGGCTAAACTTCTAAAGAGGGTCGTTCACTGCGACCAAATGTCAATTTGGACTGCTTATGTTTAATAGAAAAATATTTAAAAGGAAATACATATGTATAGAAAAATAAACTGCAAGGCAAAGAGCTAGGCAAGCGTGACTACGAAATACCCTGCACTGAGTTTAATAAGTTCATTGTTGTTGAATATGTATTTGAAATTTATAAATATATAAGATGTATGAAAACGTATGTCTTTTATATTTTTATATAGAAAATTCAAGCCTAGTCAGAAATGCCAGAATTACATTTTTAATTCAATGGAACTGATATATAAAAAAAAAAAATTAAAAAAACTTTTTCGAATTTTACATATGAAATGATGGTAAATATTTAATATTTTAAGAGTTTATAAAATTGAAGTGCAGTATTTTAAATAATCAAACAAAACAAAATTTTTTTAAAAATTGAAAAACAAATTACATGAATTATTTAATGATATACACATATAAATGAATATGTATTTTTTTAATTTATATTTCTTAATACATTAAATGGTAAAATTCATGTAAAATAGCTTCAGTGTAAAGATGATAAATTCAGATTTTATGTTATCTTGAGGTTTGTTAAGCTTTTAATTAGAAGATTGAAAACATTTTTAAAATTTAGTTTTTATTATTGAACTATACGGGTATATATTAAATCTAAACTTTATACGGTTACGGGTATATATTAAATCTAAACTTGTAAATAAACAAAAGTGTATAATCAATACCAATAACGAAATATATATGTTATTTATTTCACAAAATTTCTACTTGGGCCTATGACGCCATCAGATTTATAGCTTTATAATGCCCTAGGGCTACAGGGTATATACATACAACAAAAATAGTTCTTTCAATAGGCACACCTAACAGTACTAACATGCTTGGGGACACTCACACACATACATATGCCTGTGTATATGTGCTTGTGTATTTCCCGTTAGTCATCGTTGTTGTCGTCCTGTTTTCTTTTTTCTTTCTTTATTTTGCCTGCGGTTATGTCTCATGTCCCTTGGCTGCAGAATTCAATTCAATGAAGTCATTTTTATTTGTTTGGCAACTTGTAGATACAACAAGAACAGCAGCAACAACAACAGCAGTAAAAGTAGCAGTAGCAGCAACAGCAAATAAATTTTGAAAAGGGTTTCCTTTTGAATAAGAAACATAACAAAAGACGAAAAAATATCACAACAAATTGTCTGCAATATGTTGCGAAATATGTGACAAGCAAAAAAAGTTTGCAGAAAGAGCAGGCAAGGCAGGCAGCCCCATAATACCCGATATTAAATGCATTTCATATGGGCGCACAATGAAAATGATTGAATGCCATATTTCAAGAGAGCTTCTCAGTAGTCGAATACATGCTGAAGTGAAGTTCAATTTGTTCGCTTTAAGCCTTTTCCGACTATCTGGCAGACATGAGCATGACAGCGCGAGAAGCGCATAGAGAGGTCATGCAGTAGCACAAAATATTAGCACAACAGACTTGCTGAGCTGCAAGTGGCTCGCATAAGAAAGGAAATCATAAATCAGCGAAAGAGTAAAATTGACAACAGAAATTGGAATGTATTTATGGGTGAACAGAATAAAAATAAGTCGAAAGAACTAACTGTTTATGTTTTGTATAGAAAGGCTTTCATTAAATTGGTCCATGAAATTCAAATGGTTTAATCTTCGTAGCTCGTCCCTCGGGAGGAGGGCAAAATTGATATTTCTTACTTTAAGCATTACATTATTCTTAGCCCTAAGCACAGCTACTTGAACTCAGCACTCACTTTTCTTTATCGCACTGCTTTTCCACAGTTCTGGAGCCCGCTTTTCCAATGCGCGATGTGACCATAAACCGCAATGTGGACGCCCATAAATTGTACGACGTGCTCGGCGAGGTGGGACGGTGAGTACGGCGTGGAGCCCAATCTTTCAGAGAGCGCCCCTCAAACAGTGGAATGAAATGCTAATCATATACTACCCAATTCTCAGTGGTAAATTCGGCACAGTGTACAAGTGCAGAGAGAAGGCCAGCGGCCTCCTATTGGCAGCCAAATTCGTGCCCATACCGAAGCGCGAGGACAAGCGGAACGTGGAGCGGGAAGTGGAGATTATGAATTCATTGCAACATCATCTCATTATACAATTGTATGCTGCATACGAATATCAGAAAATGATGTGCGTCGTCCTGGAACTGTAAGGCCCAAACGAACACGCAACTCTCTCTATATATACAGTTGCTATATAGTAGAAATTCTATATTCATGTTGAAGAATATGTTGATTTCATATTATTGTTGTTGTTGTCTTTACTATTGTGGAGTGCGTCTCTGTGTGTGTGTGTGTGTTTTGTTGCCCTTGATGGCAAACTACTTTGACAACATCTTCATAACTTTTGTTGGTCTCTTTTGTTTGTTCCATTCTATTGTTGTTGTTACATTGTTGTGGAACACAATATCTTGCAATCAGCGGGAAATGTGCATAAAATACGATTTACACGTACGCACATTATCGTAAACTAGTAAACTTCTTTCACACACACACCGCTCCGCGCATGCACATGCACACACACACGCACCGCACAACTATAAAAGTTTTACCATGCTTTTCTCTTTCGTTCTTATTCTTTCCTTTTTTGGGCACACTCAGAAAGAAAACCTTAAGCAACAGGTTATCGCACTTCCTTGTTCTAGAAATGTATTTAGTGCTCTGATAAGGAGCATTGCACTTTTATCAGTTAATGTGTAACACACCCACAAGGAAGTTCACGAAATTAGAATTTTTATCGGTAGGTACTAGTCTTTTCTGTCTGACCGTTAAAAAGTCTCTAAAGTTTGACAATAAATTAAAAATTCGCACACATACGTCTTTCTATGTTTGGTAATCGATCAATAGGTTAGTTTATTAAGTAACGATCTTGATTAAGACATATTTAGATATCACAAAGTCCAAGGGAATACTTTAAGAATTAAAATCAAAGAAGATAAAACAAAAACATATACAAATGAATATTACATACATACATTAAAACTTAAAGAAAAGAGACACGAAAATCTTAGTAAATGGGACCAAGACAAAGCAAGAAATAAAAGTAGAGAGCAAACAAAGAAGAGGATCGGGAAAAATTCTTTTATTTTCACTTATTCAGTTGGACATATTTTATATTTGGAATAAAAATGAATCATAAAGATGCATCAGCAAAATTTATAAGCTTGAATTTGGATGCATTTGAATATTCATAAACTGTATAACTCATGTGCTTAGGTATTTTAGTAAATAATATAGCTATAGGTTCTGTTTTCTTTTTTGACGATATTTAGATGGGGCTTAATATCCATATTCATATTATAATTGTTCATTATTAAACTTTAAGGGTATTCAACATTTGATAAGAAAATAAAACTCATATTTAGCTGTATCCCATATTTGGTCTCTAATAAAAACGTAGGCGGGCCCTATTCTTTGGGCCATAAAACCATTTGAGTCAGGCAAAGGTGCACTGATTAAGCCATGGCCTTGACCCATTTGCCTGGAGTGGGCATCTTTTCGCCACAGAAATAAAACGGCAACACTTGCAGAGCCAAAAAGACAATAAAGTTGCGAGTCTTTTGTGCAGCTCACTTGACTTTTTACTTTTGAAATGCATTTCCATGGCTGGGAGTGTGTTGTTCTGTTCTATCTGTTCTATCCTGTTCTACAGTCGACAACAATGCTGACAGTTCTTATTGTTGTTGTTTTGTGTGGGAGTCTTAATTGTTTACTTGCGCAAGTTGTTTCGTCGCTTTGCATATTCATAAAATGCAGCAAACATATTTGTGCCAAGACAAAAATCCTTGACAAACTGCAAACTGCAAACTCGTTTTGTAAATTGTCCATTTGCTTTGCTAATGAAAATTGCAGTTTATTTCCACAAACAATAATATTTATTTGAATTTCTGGCATTGCCATGGAGCTTTTTCAATTGTCCCTTTTGCTCTGTAAATAATTCATATTTCACATTTTATGTCAACTGACAAAAATATATATTCTGCAGCTGCATAAAAGTCATATAAGTCACATCGATTACTGCACATGAGAATTGCAGCTGGAAAATTTCACAAATAAGCCGATTGACTTTAGCTTTTAAATGCTTTATTTTCCTTCTTGTTTTTTTTTTTTTTTTTTTTTTTTTTTTTTTTGTCTTTTCAAATTGAATGAAAACTGGTAAAAGTGAATTTAGTTTATTGCCAGTGTCGAGTAAAGGGCAAGCTTGAAAGTATTTACCTGCATTTTTTATTTACCCTGCAAACAAATGTGCTCGATGCATATGAATAACGATATTTGAAACAGATATAATTTAAATACGGACAAACAATTGTTAAATGTTTCATCTCTTGATACGAAGAATGGGAAATTGATATTCTGGCTAGGACTGTAGGCAGGCAATTTTTAATGTATATAGACAGGCGGATAAATAAACCAGAGATTGGTTGGGCTAAATGAGATAGATTAAGAAACTATTAACTCTTTAAATGTATCATTGAATATGTACAAAATACTTCTATCAAGTTAATGTTAAATTAAAATCAAAGTAAAAAGGCAAATGTGGAAAATGTACATGTACCATAATTATAAACCTCGAATCAAGACGTTTTCCTCTTAGCTTCACTACAAAAGCAATTTACAGCGACATAGAGATTCATAAATATCAAAATACAATGGGAGGACATGGATTTATTCAGTAATTTACCGACAGTAAGCGAATAAGAAGCAGCACTCCAACTCTAAAAACTCCAGTTTGAAAAGCTGATTTTAATAAAATTGCCGTCTTTGAAGAATTAAAGAGTAATATGATATTGGGTATTCTCGATTAAAATGCGGGAAATTATCCATATTATATTTAAAATAATAAAGTAGTTACTTAATTTAACTAATAATTTACAATTTTCATATTTATAAATTAAATGAAAATCATCATATGAAAGACGTATGGGCAAATCTTATATCAAATCAAAAATAAATTATTTAAGACTTTTTCTACACCAGAGTTTTAAAACTTCAAGCAGTATAAAAAACTCTTTTTAAATAAAAACAATATATGTTAAGAGACTCTACCTGACTTTATGACAATATACAATATATCGCAATTTTATAAAGCAAGCAATAAAATCTCTGAGTGTCTAGTATACGGATTCACATATAATTCATATAAACACAGTAATATATCCAATGCAAGTAGATTACAACAAATCTCATAGATGTAGCACTTTGAAGTAAATTGCAGGAACTGACATAAGATACACGAAATTTTCAATTGCCTAGCATTTTCCATTTGCTTTTCTCAGCAAATGTGGAATGCTTTGCAGTTCAGTTGCTGCACTTTACTTTCTCCTCGTAGGTTGATGTTCATGTATTATCTGATTTTCGTGTTATGTCAAACAATGCGTAGTTCTTGTAAATAACATAAATAGACTTATACCGTGGCAGGTAAGCCAACTGAAATGAGTCTAAAACTCAGCACTAAATGGGAGTTAAATTAGCTGCTTTAACTGTGGTCTTGGCTTTAGCTGCATGCTTATTGTATGTTCTATCCTCTATTGTTATGTATATTTATATATTCTCTATAACATATTTAAAAACCTCTAAATGGTGTTCACCCATTGACTCCTTAGCATTGAAGGCGGCGAGCTCTTCGATCGTGTTGTGGACGATGAGTTTGTTCTCACAGAGCGCGTGTGCCGAGTCTTTATACGCCAGGTGTGCGAGGCCATGGCCTTTATACACGGCAACGGCATCATCCACCTCGACTTGAAGCCCGAGAATATCTTGGTACTGTCACAAAAGGGAAATCGCATCAAGATCATTGACTTTGGACTGGCACGCAAATTCGATCCCGATAAGCGCCTGCGAGTGAGTTTCAGTTGATTGCTGTTCATACAGGGTATCTATATAGCATACCACTCTTTCAGGTTCTCTTTGGCACACCTGAGTTTGTGGCGCCCGAAGTGGTAAACTTTGACTGCATCTCCTATGGCACTGATATGTGGAGCGTTGGCGTCATTTGCTATGTGCTGTAAGTATTTGGTGTCGAGATATTCGAATAAAAACTTCATTACACTACACAGCAGAGATTTAATTACAGAAAAGTCTTCAATTAATTTAAAATTTTATAGAAACCAATTGACAACTAAATTTGGGAACTGAATTTCAGAATTATTACATTTTCTATTATCAATATTTGAGATGAGCTTTACTTCTAGCTTCTATTTATTCCTTTTTTTATAAGATAAATAGATTTATTATTGGCAAATTATGTCAAAGAATTTATAAATGAATTTATTTCATTTCTTTAAAGAATATAAACTCTTTAGAGTTTAATGAATTAACCAAATTAAAGAGTTTATATTTCAATGCAGTGCACTCTTCTATGCTCTAATACCTTTTATGTAGCGCAGTGTTGCTTCAAGAATATGATACTTGAAAATTTAATCAAAGCTAGCTTAAGGACCGAGTGCGGGGTCGGGCTTTGCATTGGCGTTGCTCGAGTGAGCAAAGTAAACTAATTAAAAATCTGTGAAAATTGCGGCAGTCAGGAATTAAATAATCAAAGTCTTACAACTGTTTGGGAAGGTGTTCGAGGCAAACCGCCAAGGTATACCAATCCCCCCTGCCAAAGACACAAATAACTAAACAAGAAAACTCGCTCGACGCCAATTTAATTTAGTTAATTAAATGCTGCTGCTGTGTGTTTTTTATGTATTTATTTATTTTGTGTGCTTTGCTTTTACATTTCATGTTTATTGACTTTGCCACACCCCACACACACACACACACACGTGGAACAATAAAAACAATTACAGCATATCTGGTCTGTCGCCTTTCATGGGCGAGAACGACATTGAAACAATGTCAAATGTAACCATTGCAAAATACGATTTTGAGGATGAATGCTTTAATGGCATATCCCCGGAATGCCTGGATTTCATATCGAAGCTCCTAGTCAAGGACTTGAGGTGGGTTTTTTGTTAATTAGTTGTCTAGCCCATAACCGGGCCACACAACCAGCACTCGCTCTTTTAATCAACCAAATGCCCCACAGCACCCGCATGACAGCCGCCGATTGTGTGAAACACAAATGGCTGCAGCAGCATCCCCCCGCCACGCCCCTCAAGAGAACAGCATCCACAGCAGCAAGAGCAGCAGCAGCAGGAGCTGAAACAACAGTTAGCAAGAGCGACTCAGTGAGCAGCAAGACGCGACTGAAGTCAGAGTCGCCCACAACGTTAGCCTCGGAGTCTTCTGAGGATTCAACGGAAACAATCGAGGATGCGGATGTTGATGGAGACGAGGATGGGGATGAGGGCGAGGCGACGGAACAGGACGAGGACAGCGAGGAGCTGGCGCAGCTGTGCAAAACACATGAGCTAGAGGTAAATAGAAAGTTAGCTAAATAGCGAAGCACCGAGCACTGTAGCATTCTGTGCTTGCCTAATGTTTCCACACAGAACAAAGAGCTGGATGCCACGAAGGATAATTTAAAGAATTTCATAGTGCGCTGGGAGACGCATCCGAACAGTCCGTATGTCTTTGACGTCGAGGGCAACGTGATAGCGCCTCTAAATGAGAGCAGCTACACGCATCCCCGACGGCCCCATGGCCCGGACAGCATCTCCTCGTCCCGAGGTGAGTACTGCCGCGACGGTGGCTCCCAGAGGCAGCGCGACCGGCATGCGCTCATCCATGGCAAATGAGCGGGGGCGACGCAATCACAACCAATTTTGTAAATTACATAATTAACTTCAAAACAACAACAACAACAACAAAAGAGCAACAAAAACAAAAATCAGCCAACTAATTGTTTCTCTCTCTCTCTCACTCTCTGTTAACTTTGAATGTAGACCAAGTTGGCTTAATGAGAAGTGCAAAGAAGGGCTCGCTGAGTGCCCACTCATAAAGCTCTCCTGCCTCTCAGTCTTAACTTTTCTTTTTATTATTATTTATGTATATTGCAATCAATTTGTGTTTTGTGTTAACATATAAACTTTTAATGAGCTATATTGTAATTATGTTGTACTTGTATGTGTGAGAGAAATTCGGCATGCCAACAACAACAAAGTACTTTCAAGTGTTGTTGGCTTAGGCTTTAAGTAATTGTAGCTTTAAGCGCATCCATATATCGGATGCTACCTCTATTAACCAAATCGCCTTATTGTATAAGTTGCTTAGCGTTTCGCCACTGTGATAAAGACAGCCAATGACAAGAGTAATACCAAAATATACTTCAAATTCAAATACTACAAGTTTTCTTTCAAATACGTTAGCCACACAACTATCCAAACATTCCAAAAGCAAACAAACAATAACATATCGAATACAAGTTAAGACATTATCCCAAACCTAGTTCAAGTTTAGCTCAACACCTAGCCACAGATTCAAAACTATCGGACAAGGTAAGCTCCACTCATCGATCAAAGATCTAGCAAAAACTGTCGATCAATGCTGCAAAATTCAAAAGTTTAAGTCAAAATATCATTTCATTCAACGGGTTCAATGTTCATCAAAACATGATGCTTATTTGTGTTGCGTTCCGTATCTGTAAGAAATTATTAAAATGCATCTAAGCAAATTTTAAAATATATTTCAAATGTTGAGCCTTACAAATTTTTACAATTTAAATTGCTAAAGCTCTAAATTTTTTAAATTTGAAATCCGAATTCGCAAAGCTTAATTTTGTTATTTGAAAACTCTGTCATTAAATAATGTAATTAACCCGTACTGATAGTAAGTGAAGAGCATTAACTATTTCTTAAAAAAGTTATAAAAGTAATAAATTTGAACTACTTGAATTGAACTAAAAAATTAAAGCGAATCCTTTTTTGTAGTACTGAAACAAATTCAATAGAACAAAAATTAGTATAACAAAAATATTTTTATTAATATTACGAAACCATATTTCTGGACTTTGTTAGGTACAAATTTTAATAATATCTTATATAGATAAGAGAACAAAACCAGTGGAAAGCTCATTTCTTCAAGTTCGATCCTTGCGCAAAGTGTGTTGTCTATCAGGGCTAGTTGGTACAATCCATTATTAACTTCTCCGTTAACAAACTGGGCTGTCTGTCTCATACGCATGCTCTATTTTTCTGTCTATATGTACCTCTATATATATCTAATTCGGATATACCAATGTTAATAATTCGTCCAAACCTAACCCCAAAAATAACCTAATTTGTTTGTGGATCTTTACGTCGCCCAACTGCTCCAGACTAAAATCCTTTTGCCTTTACAGTTTGCTCGCCCTCGCCATGTGAGTCCATAGCGACGCTCACGGACGATGAGCAAGAGGCTGGAGCGGCCCTCGAGGAGGAGAATGAGCCAAGCGCTGACAGTCCCCATTCGGTGGCGACCACGCCCATTAATGAGTCCCGCGAGAAACTCTTCCCAGCAGTGGGTGCAGCGGGTACATCTGGCTGTGCCACGCCCACGCCGCAGCATCTGTTCAACGAGCACTTCGATGAGTTCTCCGGCAGCGAAAGCAGCGCACAGCAGCGGCGCAGCATGAAGAGTTATTTGCACACATTCGACAGGCGAAACTCGGACACGACCTACTTGCTGGGAAGGCGCAGCTCCGGAGAGCGCGTCAATCTGGCAGATGAAATACGCAAGCTGTCCGATCACCTGCTCATGCTGGCCGAGATCAACACCAAGCTGGGCGATAGCAACAACTCGAGCACCACTGAGAGCAGCGTCATCCAGGAAGCCAACAAGGTGAAGAGCAGCACGCGCAGCACCCGCGTGACCTCACACGGGCAGCTGCACAGCGCCAGCTCCAGCTCCAGCAGCCAGACACACGTGCGATCCGCTGATGGCCAGCAGAAGGTGAGCTCGTTGTCCGCGCGACTGCAGCAGTCCATAGAGGAGACTCCGAAGCTGAGCAATGGTAATGGGAATGGCAGCAGTAGCTGGTCCCAGTCCCAGCTGCGCAGCCAGCCTACAGTGAGCACCATGAGCACGGCTAATGCTAAGAGTCATATGCAGAAGAGCTCTACCAGCACCAGCACCAGCACCAGCACCAGCAGCTCCAAATTCTATTCTAGCATCAGCACCAGAAACAGCAACAGCAACAGCTCCAGTGCCAGCTCAAGCAATCATGTCTTCACGGAGTCGGCGAGCAGTCGACGAGCCAAGTTTCGCATCAACCAAATGAGTCGCGACGTGCCCATCGGATTGCCGGATACGCATCAGACGGTGAATCTGGAGGAGGCAGCCAACACGACGAAGGATTGCTTGCTGCATCTGCTGGAGAAGTACAATGAGACGAAGATACGCAATCCCGTGGGCAGGCATCAGAGCATCAGCGTCGACTGGCACATTAGCGATAATCTCGAGTACCGCTCCATGAGCTCCATCAATGCCTTCTTCCAGCGACACAGCCACAGCAGCGGCGGACAGAACGTCAAGCACATACAGGCCCAACTGGAGGAGAAGGCAACGGGGAAGTAGTGGACGACGGTACCATCTGAATACTGTATATAATCCTATATATAATTCATGTACTATAAACTCGACAAACAGCTCAAAAATCAATCGCAACTAATGAGAGAACATCATTAAGGAAAATACAAATACAAACTTAGTCAATCGCAGTTACAGTTAGTCAATTTCTATGTTCGCATGAATCAAATTGTTTATGTATTTGTCGTAAGTGATAAATGATATTAATTTATTGAAAATAAAACTTAAATGGAAGACTTCAATCGAAATTCAATCGGTCTTGGGTAGGTCAGGCTGAGGTATATCCTGAATTCGGCATACACCCTGCAGAGCATACACAAATCAAATTTTATACTGATATTGATATATTATCGATCAATACACATCGTCATCATCAGATGAATACATTGATATATTGTATATTCATTACATATTATTATATATATTTCAATATATATAAATATAGCCCTGTATATTTAAACGAGTTGATCTAAAACAAGTAAGAAAGCTCTAGTCGAGACTACTCGACTACGAGAACCCCTGAACCCTTGGAGTAATAGCTATTTCAATAATTTTTCGCGTCTTTCAGCTTACACAAGAAACACGCACACACACACACACACACACACACACACACACACACACACACACACGCACGCACNAAAAAAAATTTGAAGTCTCTAGCTCTTATATCTTCTGAAATCGACGCGTTCATACATACGGACAGACGGACAGACAGACGGACAGGGCCAAATCAACTCAGCTCGTCGCCCTGATCAAGAATATATATACTTTGTGGGGTCTGCCACGCCTGCTTCTGCCTGTTACATACATTTCAACAAAACCATTATACCCTGATTTCCCATTGAAAATGGGGTCAGGGTATAAAAATATAATAGAGACTACGTATTTTGTTTTAAATAATCGATAACTACCTACGTATTGGTTTTACCGATTGAGCCCCACAGCTTTAGAGGTCGAGTCTCTAAATTTAAAATTTGATATATTGTATATTCATTACATATTATTATATATATTTCAATATATATAAATATAGCCCTGTACGTATATTTAACCGAGTCGATTTAAACAAATATAAAAGCTAGAGACTACGTTTTTTGTTTTAAATAATCGATAACTACCTACGTACTGGTTTTATCGATTGAGCCCTACATCTTTAGAGGTCGAGTCTCTAAATTTAAAATTTGAATTCATGGGTATTTGAAATACCTTAGATTTTTGCTATAATCCACTCGTACTTAAATCTACATATACTATAGCTTTCTTTCTCGTATTCGAATTGATCCGTAACCATATTTTCTGCGAAAATATATTTTGGCAGATAATTTATACTTGAAAAAAAAGGACATTAGAATGATATATAAGTAATTTTGATCTAATACATTTCAAAAGAAATTTTTATTGATTTTTCATTTTTTCAAGGTCGGAGACTTTTAAAAATATATGATACGATCTTACAGAAAACGAGCTGAATGTCTCTCAAACGTTCGAAACCCAATATGCTCCATTTCATGATTGTGTATAAAAAGCAGCTACACAAATACTCCACGTAAAAATCATACCGAGAAAAAAAATATGATTTATTTCTATCCGATTTGTTTCTTCTAATAGATAGAATCCACTCATAATTCACAATTAAGTATAGACAGTCTTCAAAAATAAAATCTCGAACTTATAGCAAAACCATCTGATCTATGTAGCACGAAATTCAACCAAGCACTTGTTCATATAAAACACAGCAAGACTTCTTTGTAGCTCCGCAGAACTTGTAATAATATAATAAAAAATTAATCTATTACAAAAAGAAAAACAAAGATTTATTTAAAAAAAAAAAAAACCAAAGAACTTAAGGAAATTAAACTACAGACTAAATATTATAGTGTATAAACAAATACGTGTGTAAAGAAAACAATAACATAAAAATTAAAAATGAATAACTCTAGACGTAATATTGGATGATAGTTTGTTTTTGTTTTCTTGTTTTATTGAAGTATGAGTGGGATTATAAACACAATATGCATTAGATATAAATACTTTGGATTTTTTCTCTATGCTAGACTTATGAAGTAGGATGATCAGTGTAAGTGTTATTCAATAATATAGGCTCTGCCTAGTTATATAATAGTTGATATATATATAAATATATATATGT